AAAGAATAAAATAAATCAAACTGTAATATTTATTGAAGTGAACTTCCTTATTTTATGTATAAGATATTGATAATCTTATTTGTTTGTAATTAAGCACAAAACTACACAATGGGCTATCTGTGCTCTGCCCACCACGGGTATCGAAACCCGGATTCTAGCGTTGCAAGTCCGCAGACATACCGCTGTGCCACTGGGGGGGGGGCGATAATATTATAGAAATTTTGTTGTTTTTTAATCTATTTATTTAATGGCATCTTCAATGTCAGGAATTGCGACATAAGGACTGACTCTTTGAATCATTCTGAAACATTTCAAAGCTATACGTATAGTAACAGTAGTACATTAGAGACTAGCACGATTAAATGAGTTTATAAAAGTAATATTTTACTGTTTAGTTTTATATACCTACTAATATTATAGGTGTTAGATTTTTTCTAGATGGTATGGGTGTTATTTTCAGTATTTTGATAAGAAAATATGTTGTTGTTCACAAAATGGAAAGTATTCTAAAAGAGAGAGTTTCGGGTAAAACGAGTCTTCCTACGTGTTGCCTTGAATCTTTGTCCCAAGGCATAAGAAAATTGATATCAACCCACGCACAGTTGGTACGCGGCTGGCATCCTAAATTTTCTTCTTGCACGACCCTAATTAGCTTTCCTACTAGTTTTTCGCTTTCTTTTTTGGTATTTTCACATATCTTATGTTATCTTAACTATGTTGTATTTTATATAACTTTAAACTGTTTGTGCTTTTCTAAAAGTTAAATCTCTTCATTTCCAGAAGATGATAATATTAATTCTACAAAAACAGAATAATGTGGCGAAAAATCTAAGCGTCTTAAACTTCTATAGGTTTCTGTTATATTTGAGCAACAATCTACATTTAGAAATGCATCGTTTATTTCCAGTCTCATTATGCAGGTGTATGTGTATACTGAATTCACACATGTTGGAGTTGGTCGTCAAGTAAACTTCGTGCTTGTTATCCAAAGTTGCGTTTTCTCCATTCTATACGTTACGTTTGTACTCTTATATTTGGGGTGTCACACCCTCACGGCATCAGATTTGTTTTATTCTTTACCAAACGCTCCCCCACCCTCCAGTGGCTTAATGGTAAGGCCGCAGATGTGTAGTTTTGGGCTTAACAACAACCAAAACAAACTTTCATTGCAATCTTACTTGATGTGTCCTAGTTCTGCTTATTTTATTAATCTGTATGCCATTTTCTTTCATTAGACATATTTCTCTAATAGTAAGACATTGTTTCTACTATCTTTTCCGTGCGTTTCTGAGAAAAGTATATTCGTTTCTAAACGTTTTCTACAATTTTCAAACATCAATCAGTGTAACAAACACAATGACACTAGCCATTTTACCAGTGTTTTAAAATCGTCCACGTCAAAGTTCGTAACAATATACCATCGTCAATAACACATGTTTGTTTCGCAACTATGACATAATACTGATGAAAGGATATGATCCTTCCCGTGGTGTGATATTTCTTTATTTCCACAGTAATAAAATTTACATTAGACGACTAACACAGTGATAATACGAAGTATATATATATGAAAAACTGATTCGTTATCATCAGATGTTTTTAATATTATGCCTATTTTATTGACTCAGATATTTAATTTCAAGTAAAAGGGTATTACACATAATGGCCACACTTTACCATAAAAACATAACAAGTATTCAGTTTTGAAGGTTTATTTCGGTCGTCTGCCCAAGCGAAAGCAACTCTTCAAGCATTACATTACGCGAAAAACAAATAATTGTGAATTACCAACAAAAAAGACCAATTGAAATTGGTTTTCACGTTTATACGAACAAGATACATGAAATCAAAGAACATCTCTTAATTTAAATTTTTTTTCTGGTTTACACTTTGACAGCTTCTTCTCTGCCAGAAGTTCTCCCTTTGAATAAGTCAAACTGCATGGCAACTAGCAAATAAAATACAGTTACGAAAGTTGTTTTTCTTTACATAAATATGCAGACTATTTTGTTATTTGTATTTACTAATTATCATAATATTTCTTTATTTGTGGCCCAGCATGGCCAGGTGGTTAGGGCACTCGAATCGCAATCTGAGTACCGCGGGTTTGAATCCCTATTCCACCAAACATGCTCGCTCTTTCAGCCATGGGGGCGTTATAATATAACGGTCACTCCCACTATTCGTTGGTAAAAGAGTAGCCCAAGAGTTGTAGGTGGGTGGTGAAGTCTAGCTGCCTTCCCTCTAGGCTTACACTGCTAAATTAGGGATGGCTAGCGCTGATAGCCCTTGTGTAGCTTTGCGCGAAATCGAAAAAACAAACAAACAATTTCTCTATTTAGCCTTTGGAAAATAATTAGAATTTTTTTATAAATTTCTTTTGTAAAATACGTACACCTCATAACTTTTCAAATATCAATGGATGCTATTTTGAGTAAGGAATACAATGTACTATAAATGCCAAAGTATAATCAATCCGAACGTGAATACCCACAAGTACAAATTTTGTCATAACTAAGATTTAATGCTACTCACCGATGTCAACAAACTCCGAGGTCCTGTCTGTGGAGAAGTGTACTGACTTCTGCCTCCAGGAGACGCTGTGAATGTAGTTTCAGTGGGGTAGACCCCCGATTGAGTGTCCTTTGGTCTGTGCCGTGGGGAATCGCTCTTGTCAGGAAATACAAATTCCGCAATTGTTCGGGGAAAATGAGGAGGTGGACTACGGATCAGGTGAGCATGCAAGTTTTCATCGATCTCCTCATCACCAGGAGATTCATCGTTTTCAACTAATTTCTCTTGATCTGACTTGGAAGGTGATGAAAACCCTTCTTCATAGCAACTGATCTTCTCCAGTTTTTGTTGGATGTAAGGGTTGTCTCCTCGAGATAGACGAAGAGCTTCCATGTCCTGATGGATGGTCTTTCCCTTCCTCGGAGACACGGGTGAACGAGAGAACATGCCATCACATGAGTTAACGTCACTCCCGGTCTGTGGTGATGCGATGAGTGAATTTATTTGGTGAACCCTATTTTCAGAGAGAAAAGTCTTGTTTTCAGGAGTAAGCCGACTTTCGCTCCCTACTAAGGACTCTTCACTTCTGTCCGTACCATCTGTTTCTGAACCCTTGTTTTTTCTCCTGAAAAATAAAAACAAACGGATGTTCATGCACGCCGTTCTATCGAATTGGTTTTTCTGAATTCTATATATATATGTGTGTGTGTGTGTGTTAAATAGAGAGAATATTTATATTATTACATATCTGCTTGTTTGTTTGTTTGCTTCCGGTAGAAATTATTTCCGAGAATCTTCAGCGATACAAGTCCTTTCTTGATTAAACCAATTTATTCTTCCTCGATGCAAACTTTTAGTACACATAAGTTCCACAATCAGTACGTTTCTCGTCACTTTAAACTTAACAACTTTTATAATACACGCTATAAATTACAACGATTCACAATCTCGATAATTTCCCTCTCGACGAGTGCAAAACACACACTTTACGGCTCACTAGCTCGAAACTAACAGAATCATAAATTTCACGGAACTCCAAAGTAACTACTGCTCTCTCTTCATTCATACCCGCTGGCTTTCTCTGTCAGGTTTATATACTAACGAAGAGGGCATCTCGAACACACTCGGACATCCCCGATCATTCGAGAAACTCATCACGCACGCGCCAGCAG